CAATTTGTATAGCATTAGACACATAGACAGACATATTTTTTTGTATTAACAAACTGATTGTCTTTTTGGTCAGTTAATCTAACTAGCTTATTTTGGTACTCAAAATCGTCGTTTTCAATCCTCTTAATTAAAAAAATTTCGGGACCTACACCCCCCATATTTTCGTCCTCTAAGATTGAAATCCTTACTACGTCCTTGGACAAGACTGCAACTACTAGATACAAAATGTACAAGATTGTGGTTTTGATTGCTTTAAGACACAAGTCAAAGAAGCTACAACAATTAGAATGTTCAACCTTTAACATTAGATCTTACTCGAGGTTTCAAGTTAAGACACTAATTTTAGACATTACTTAATGAAGAAGACAACTCTTTGGCAATAGGGAAAAAAGGGCAATTCAGTAGTATGTGTTAGCTTTAAAAAAGTACAATTCAGGGCTACTATCATATTTACGAAATATTCGAAACGATGGTTCCGAGTATTGGAATACCCGGTCCGATCCACATGACGTCCAGACCTACTATCTTCTGATATCTTCTTTTATAGTCTCTTTTTTGACCTATTTGTTGTCATAACTTCGAGTGTTCAACCTCTACGTTCAGACTACGTGTGATTTAGAGTAGTAATCATAGTTACTTAACACCTGTTTGTCAATCATTATTTTCAAACTCTTTTTTCTACATACTCATTTTCAACCACATATTCACACAATAAAATATTTTGTACGTAAATTAAAAACTTTTTCTTATTTTCTAATCACATATTCTCGTAAAAATCACAATTCAAAACTCTATTTTTTCCAAATAATGGTTGCCAAACAAGGGCTTAATAAAGAAGACATCTATTTGAGAATATGCAACAAATATGTCTTATCGCATTAAAAAAGCGCGATTCGCTTCGCTTATCTAGTTGTCTTTATAGGTTAGTCATGCTAGGCTCAACTTTAGAAGTATGATGTCGAAGAAAAGGCTCGTAAATCTAGCAAAGCCCGAGCCTTGCCAAGCCACTATAATTTTAATCATGCTAGAAACCAAGGATGGCTCGACATATAAAGGTCTATTTACAATTTTACTGTCCAAAGATACTCTTTTATCCATACTTTATTTGAGGTACAAAATGTGCAAGTCGACTCTTGAATCTAGCATTGCAAGAATAGTAAAATATATACATACACACATACATTTTACTTTTCAACTCGAACGTGTGTGTATATATTCTCTCTAAGGTAGGCTTTAATTTTATAAAGGCGAAAAAAAAAAAACATATTTTTCCTAGCCCAGTGTAAAAATCAATTTTTGTCCCCCATTGGCTCCGCCCCGGCTAGATAGCTCTTTTCGATTCATGGATCCTCGGAGCTGAAATATAAACCGATTGAACAATATTTAAGATGATGAAGAAAAATAAGTTATAATCAACATTGAACACCAAACGTGTGCTTATAGTCACAATATTCCTCTTTCATCTTCCCCATTATTCTCAAACCAAATTCAACAGTTAA